ACCAGTGTAGGCGTCGGGATGGTTCCTTCGTTTCTTGTTTGTTGGCGGACGCCCTCTTCTCGCGATGGAGTCTCGCTTGGCCGAGTGTTGATTTCTTCTACTATTGCTCTTATATCACGCAGGCGTTCCGCAATTTCCCTCTCCATTTCGTTTGCTGTTACCGTTTCATTCTCGTTGGAAATCACCTCGATCGGGGGTGCTGTCTCGTCATTTGTTTCGGATGTATTTTCTTCAGTTGCTACTCTTCTCGCTATTAAGCTAGGCCACATTGGAATTTCATCGTCTACTATTCCGGGTAGTAATGCTGGCGGTTCCAGCTCCGGTGGCATCTCTGCTGTGGTAGGCAGTTGGCTTCCGCTTGTCCTATTTGGGGTGATTTCTATTGGGCTGGGCCACAGCGGAATATTTTCGCCGGTTTCCTCGTGCAGTTGTCCTGGTGGATTGAGTTCTGATGAAATCTCAACCGTGGTGGATTCTCGTCCTCCGCTTGATTTGCCTCTTCTCGCTGTTAAATTAGGCCGCGTCGGGATTTCATTGTTTAATGTTCCGGGTAGCAAAACTGGTGTTTCCGGCTCCGGTGGCGTCTCTGAAATGGTGGGCAGCTTTTTCCCGCTCGTTCTATTTGTGATTATTTCTATTGGACTGGGCCACAGCGTAATATTGTCGCCGGTTTCTTCGCGTAATAGTCCTGGCGGATTAGGTTTTGGTGATGATATTTCAGCTGCGGTGAATTCCGGGCTTCCGCCTGTTGTGTCTAAAGTCGCGCTTTTCGTTCTCCAAATAACCCTACCACCCTTCTGACTTCGGTCTGATGGAGGCACACTCGCGGCTCTAGTTCTTGATCTTGTCATAATTTGAGAGCTAGAGGCTGGAGGGGGGGTTATATTCCTGGTCGTTAATGTGGTTACTGCAGTTTTAGGTCTCGTTTTGGTGATCGAAGCAGGTCTGCTGGTCCCAGCCTGAATATTTGGGTCAACTGCAGAAGCGGACTTTGGTGGAGTGCTGGGTGTTGGCTTGGTCGGTTTATTATGTTTTGTCATATTGGCCTTTTTCCCGCGGCCTTCACATTTCATGAGGTGGCCCCTAAATGCGTTTAACGATGTTGGTAAGTTGCATAGCGAGCATTTGTATTTGAGCACAGCATGGTGCTCTATCCTCAAATGCATCATAAGTTTACTCTTCTGGGTGTATGCTTTCCTGCATTTGGGCAATGTGCTTTGTCATCTTTCAATGGTAGGTCCAGGTAGACGACCTCAGACTCTGCAGAAGTAGTATTTTCTGTGCTGAGCGAAAGTCTGAGGTCGTATCCCAAGGCTTTGCAGGCCTGCGTCCGGGTAAGCTTCTTTGGGAGCTCATGTAGTATCTGCTTTCTTATTTGGGGCAAGTTTTCTCATGACATTTCATGCATATCACCATTTATTCATTCATTCATTCATATGTTGGTTTATATTGGTTTTGAGCAAGGAAAGAAAGAGAAAAAAAAAAAAAAAAAAAAAAAAAAAAAAAAAAAAAAACATATATATATACATATACACAATACAATATATATATATAATATATAACAATAATATAATATAATAATAATAATAATATAATACTAATAATAATAATAATAATAATAATAATAATAATAATAAAATAATAATAAAAAAATCAATAAATAAATAAATAAATAAAAAGTAAAATGGGCCAAAATAAATTTATATACAGGACATAAATATAAGTATAAAAAGCAAAAATAGATATAAAAATAAAATGCAAAAAGTAAATAAATAATTATAAGAGAGGAAAAAAAAATCAATAACGTGTAACATAGTAATAATTTAAAACATGTCATGTATTACTTTGAGTGTCTATATAATCCCACTGTTTGGGATTGTCGAGCTTTCTTGTAGACAGCGAACGCGTATGTCGCTGTGTCGACAGCGTGCCTCGCCTGTTGTTACACGCCCAGTGGAGCGCATGTCAAAGTGTGAGAATCAATTTATGGCAATTGTGAAAAGTTGTGTAAAGCGAAATGAGTTTAGAGTTACTGACGATGATGTAATTAAAGGTTGGAATCATAATTATAACTGTGATATATTACGTTTGAATTTAGTTGAGCGACAAATTTAGATATATGTATATATATCTATGAAAAATAATCGATTTGGGTTCGTGTCTCACCGTTTAATGTTCCGCGGAGACGGGCTTCAGCTAAGACGCGTCAGTGCGTGATCGGTACACTCCGCGACAGAATGCATCGAAAATTTTGAACGATTGATATAATAGAATACGAAAATATAACTGAATTGTGAATGGATTTTGGTAGAAATATATTATAATTTGATATGATGGAGTAGTTGGTGGTAATGACAAACTTTGTGTAATGCAGCTATATGTAGGTATATTATTTATGTCTACAAGTATGCATTCACCGATCGGCAGAGAAGTAATTTAATAATATAAATGTAGGCTTAATTATTATTATTTTAAGCGATTATATTAAAGTAAAAAAGAGAAAGTGTATGGCAAAAGTAAAAAACACGACTATAAGTATAATTATAATTCTGGATATAATGCGAGTAAGAATAGTTAGTTAGTTTTTAGTTTCAAATTTAAATAAAGAAAAATGTATTGAATTTACAGTAACAATATAATTGCATTTACAACGATATGGTTGTCAATGCAAAATGTATATCGTAATAGTAATTTGAGTATGTAATGAATATTTATTATTTTATATATAGCGCGAAATTATAATTATAGTCGCGCGACTAAATACACATAATTATAATAAGAGAAGAATAAAGGTTTGAGAATTCTCGAACAGTAATTATGCGCGAGACGCGCAACGTTGTTAATTTTTTGTATCGCGTATTTTACCGATCATGCGAAACCGTATACGTATACAACGCACGACGTCACCCGCATCACACGTCCATACAACCTACAAACCAACATACGTGCGTACCACACACACACACACACATGCACACACACACATATTACGTACTTATACTATGTCATAATGAGAAAACTTACCCGTATGATTTACTCGCGAATGGAACACATCACAGTTTTAGAATAAGTCAAATATTTATTTTAGTTAGCGAAAGCCTTTTGGAAGCGCTGGCAAATCGTCGGAAGCGGAGCAGGCCCCTGACAAATAAATTTTTCCAAAAATCACTTAAAACACTTTATATCGCGAAATTTATTAAGCTGATAAGAACAGATACTACACTTTGATCTTAGCCATTCGGCCGAGAAGCGATAAATTTGCGGACAAATACTATTTTTTAAATTCTACAATATAAACAAAATATTCCCAACTATTTCAACGATTCATTTTTCATCTATTTTTATCAACTCTCGCGTCCATTCCCTAACTATTCTTCACCCCCAAAGTTCTATGAGCGAATGTTCTAATATGGCTGTTAACTCTACTGTCGTTATAAGCCTTTTCTCACATTTGTAAAATTTTACAAAAATATTTATATAAAGTATTTTCTGACACTTGCAAAATTTTTCAAAAAAAATGTTATTAGGAGAACAGACGGTCATATTCATATTAATTTCTTTATCGATAGATGTGTGTTCATACTTATATATATTTAAACTCATTTTTCGTCATATTTATATAAAGTATTTTCTGACACTTGCAAAATTTTTCAAAAAAATATGTTATTAGGAGAACAGACGCTCATATTCATATTAATTCTTTATCGATAGATGTGTGTTCATACTATATATATTAAACTCATTTTATTGTCATATTTATATAAAGTATTTTTGACACTTGCAAAATTTTTCAAAAAAATATGTTATTAGGAGAACAGACGCTCATATTCATATTAATTTCTTTATCGATAGATGTGTGTTCATACTTATATATATTAAACTCATTTTTCGTCATATTTATATAAAGTATTTTCTGACACTTGCAAAATTTTTCAAAAAAATATGTTATTAGGAGAACAGACGCTCATATTCATATTAATTTCTTTATCGATAGATGTGTGTTCATACTTATATATATTAAACTCATTTTATCGTCATATTTATATAAAGTATTTTCTGACACTTGCAAAATTTTCAAAAAAATATGTTATTAGGAGAACAGACGCTCATATTCATATTAATTTCTTTATCGATAGATGTGTGTTCATACTTATATATATTAAACTCATTTTTTGTCATATTTTATATGAAGTATTTCTGACACTTGCAAAATTTTTCAAAAAAATATGTTATTAGGAGAACAGACGCTCATATTCATATTAATTTCTTTATCGATAGATGTGTGTTCATACTTATATATTAAACTCATTTATCGTCATATTTATATAAAGTATTTTCTGACACTTGCAAAATTTTTCAAAAAAAATGTTATAGGAGAACAGACGCTCATATTCATATTAATTTCTTTATCGATAGATGTGTGTTCATACTTATATATATTAAACTCATTTTTTGTCATATTTATATAAAGTATTTTCTGACACTTGCAAAAATTTTCAAAAAAATATGTTATTAGGAGAACAGGACGCTCATATTCATATTAATTTCTTTATCGATAGATGTGTGTCATACTTATATATATTTAACTCATTTTATGTCATATTTTATATAAAGTATTTTCTGACACTTGCAAAATTTTCAAAAAAATATGTTATTAGGAGAACAGACGCTCATATTCATATTAATTTCTTTATCGATAGATGTGTGTTCATACTTATATATATTAAACTCATTTTTTTCATATTTATATGAAGTATTTTCTGACACTTGCAAAATTTTTCAATCCTATTATCGTTATATATAATCTTTTGTTAGATTTGTATAGCTTTATATATTTTTTTTATTTTATTATTAATTCTATAGTTTTTATATAATTAATTTATATAGTTAATTTGAAATCAATTATCGATATTACATATCAATATATTTATATATATTTATATATATATATATTTTAATGCAATATATGCACATTTTTAAATTTATTATTATATGATGGTTTTTTATGGGCCGATCCCGGCGGTACTCTGCAATACCGGGCCAACCCGCGGCGGAAGCGGAGCAAGCCCCTGACATTCCGCCAATTTCCAAAAATCAGTTTTTAATATACTGGGATCTGCTATGCAGATACTACAGATATTAAGCTGATAAGAACAGATATTTCTTTTAGATAATGCTGATGATATATGTAGACCATTTGCAAATCTTAAAGAATTTTGATGTATCGCTGTGTATGTCAAGACCAAGTATATAACTAGTTACAATACGCGGACTGACATATAGCGAGCATATATCTGGAAGAGGAAATTACAATTTTATTGATATATAATAAAACACTACGGGCCAGCTATTAGCTGGTAGTGTGTA